TCACACTCACATTCACACACACACACACACACACACACACACACAAACAAACCAGAGCGTGCGTGTGTGCATGTCCAGCTGCTGTTGTTAAAGCCCTTTAAATCTCGATGAGAAGATCGATCATCATCCTCTGAAGGACATGATATAAGTCCTAAACATCACAGATCAGAAAAATTAAAATAGGCTACATTAGAGACGGCAATCAAGAACTGGTTGGTATCCAGAACTGTTTTTTTATTTATTTATTTATTTATTTTTACTGCTTTGGAAATGGGTCTATAGGTCTATATATGGTTTATTTGTTAAATATATCTTTGGAATGTCCAATGAAAAGTCTTCATAAAAATGTCATCTGGGTGTAATGAGGTTTTGACACATCAGCAGCAGGTCAGGTGCAGCGCCGTCCCGCATAGCTGAGCAGATTAGCTCGGGACGGGTAATAAAGGTTGTTCAGAGCCGCCGCCGCATGCGTGCCGAGCTCGGGCTCTGCGTTTGGCTCTGCATGCTTCACGAGCACGAGCTGATAAAAGCCTTTGTCTGGCTGCAGGTGGGCTCTTCTAATGAACATCTGTGGCCTCCTGCCGCTGCTATCTGTAGATATGAGATATGGTGTGATTACGGAGCACTAGATTCTGTTTTTGCACTTGATATATATGTTACATGTGAAGCTAAAACGCAATTTTAACCACTAAAAGCCTTAAATGTAAATATGTGTATTATTTGTATGCAGTGACAGATATTTGCTGTTTCAAAATCTAGTAAACTGCCATATTGTCTACTTCCTATACACGTACATCACAGAGACGTCTATTTGATGTCTGCACATCTGCAAGACGTGTTCTATAGAACGTTTCCTATCAGATGTCAAATAGACGTTTAGAAGATGTCTTTAAGATGTTTATGATTTAGAATCAGATGTTTGTACACAGCAGATGCTTTCCAGATGAAACGATCTTTAATAGACATCTTGCAGACGTACGTGTGCAATCTGGGAAAACATTAGTTTGAATGTCCGCTGAGGAAAGCGATATCTTTGTCGTACTATCCTTCATCTGTTAAGGGTGATGACAGCTCACTGCATTTGTTAACTGCGTTCTTACCTTGTTTACAACTCTGTTTCAGTCTCTTTCAATATAAAAGTCTTTACTGCGGACTCACTCATAAAAACATCTCTTGTCGCCATCTAATGGCAGAATAATGTAAC